AATTTCAAATTCACTAAAAACCTCTGGGTGTAAATTGAAATTTTATTGAAAATGTAATGTAAAAATTTCTATACAAGCTTTTTTAGAAACATAATTTACCCAATCAATGAGCCATAAAATTTTTCTTCTTAAATTATATTTTATCATTAAGTTACATCAAGAAATATAGATTACAAATATTGATACTTGTTTTGCTTTGAAAAAAAAAGCACAATGCAGTTGTTTTTTCTAGATTGAAAATTAAATTGCATCATAGCAACTTTTTTCTTTTATATCAATTATTATTTAGTACAAACTATCAGATTATTTTGTTGTTTATGCCATTGAAGCTGATTAAAATGTCTCTCTAGTAACATTCATTTCATGACTTAATTGAGTTATACTATTGGATCTTTCAAAATTAATAACTATTTCACCTTTACTACTATCTTTTTACAAAGTTTTTTTTTTAAATAAAATCATTTTTTTTTTTTATTTAAAGCATTAGGTTTATTTATACTTGCCAAACTTTCTGTGTTAGATTTGAGGTTTATTTTTTTATAAGTTTGTTCTAAGATACTCGTAAATTTTTATATTAAAATAATTGATTCTTAAAGAGCGTGATGATGAACAATGTACAATTGTTCAATGCGTGATTGTAGAATGAATATTTTTTTTCACATTTATATTTTTACTCCTTGTACAAATTTAAAGGATTACTTTTGAATTTTACATTTTTGTCATCTTTAAATGATTAAATCTGCATACGTACTGAATATTTAATTGGAAACAGTAAAGAGTTTTTATAAGATATAAAAAAAAATTTGCTAATATGTCAATTGAAATCTTTGTTGTCTTCCTTTTAGTATTTCAGTAACCGTATTCTGCAAATTGAGTTAAAACCTAAATGCAATTTTTATAAATTATAATTGTCTTGAACAGAAAAAAATTTATTTTTCCTGTTAATTAATAATAGGTGCTAATTCACCAGAATTCAGATATGGAGTATGCAGCAACTGTTTCCTTGACAATTATTATAAGTAGTACGAAAATCATCCGTAATTATGTGGACTAAGTCGACACGTGGTACTTAATACTCAAAAGAATCTTTTTATTTTGTGAAATATTTTCAGGTAAGGTATACATCTTGCTGTTTTCTAGTTATCTTTAATATTAACTATTAATAATGAAACATGTAAGTATTTGCTCTGAAAAAACACACACTACAGCTTAAATGCACTTTTTTTCTTCAACTATAATAATTATTTCATCATAGAAACTGAATTTGGCGCATTTGGAACTGTGACGAGTCTTGCTGCAAAAAGCATTAAATAATTATTAGAGCATTTAATGCTCGTAAACTTATTTTCAATTTACTTAAAATTTCAAAACTAATTAAATATTAAGATAGTCACTAATTTAAAATTTCTTATTGAAGTGCACTTAAGGATACTTAATTTATTAAGCAGCTTCACATTATGACAAACGTTAGAGCACGATAAATATAACAAGAAACATGTAAAAAAAATTATTTCAATTCCTATTTTGAATGGAGGAATAGAACGTATTTTATTAACGATTGAAAATTTGAAATATATATATATATATATATATATATAGGGAGAGAGAGTGAACTAACAGAAGGAATAGAAAAAAGAGCATGATCTGTTTGAATTGTAATAACGCACACCTGGTCTGGCTAGTTTGGCTGAAAAATCGGTTTTCAACGCCAACTTTTGTCATTGTTTTAACAGTTACTTTGTTACAACAATGGAGACGAATCTAACTTGGCGTCGAAAACCAGTAGCTAATTAAATTTAATTTAATTAATGAATTAAATTAATTTGAGAAAATGTATTAACATCAAGTGTTATCCACTACAAGTTTTAAAAATTTATTTAAACTTGATTGGATGAATAGAAAGTATTTTATTAACGATTGAAAATTTGAAGATAAATATATATATATAGAGAGAGAGAGTGAGCAAAAATAGCAGGAATTAAAAAATAGCCATGTACAACAAAAAACTAAATTCAATCATTAGTTTTCTTAATATTTACCTTTTAAATAAATAAATGTTTTTTTTTTCTTGTTGTCGTGTATGAAAAAGTGCAGAAGTTGTAATAATAAAATATAAAGATATAGTCAAATATTGCCAAAGGCGTGAATCACTGCCGTGACAACATCCATGGCACGATCCAATAATAGAATGTCCATGCTGCAGGCATTGCCTATTTTAAAAAGAGCACTAACAATGGAATGCCAGCTAAAAAGGTGTTTGGGAGCCAGTTGTGTGTCTGAGCAGAGCCTGCATTCCACATATAATCTGGAACCATAGGGCGGAATCTTCATGCTTAAAATGCTTTGTCCTTACTCTAGTTATTGTTGTCGTAATTTCTCGGCTATAATTTGATTTTGGTAGCAATAATTTTTTTCTTGGGTTTGAGCAGAACTTTTGGTTTGTGATTGCGTTGGCATCAAAGACCGTAGTAGATGAAGTTACAGGTGTCATGTCTTCAGCGAACATCACTTCATAACTTCAGCACTGATAAAAGCGAACATCACTGAATTAATAATTTTGTTTTATGACTTGTAAATCCATCATTTTCCATACAAAAGTTAGTATTGTATTTTTTGTGTGGAATAAAATGTTTGATTTTTGTGTGAATGGCTGGATATTTTATCGCTTTTAGAATCCAGAATTATTTCTAATGTTTTGATTTCTTAAAAGTTATTTTACCTTATTCAACTGCAAAACCAGATACGCTGCTGGCGTAACAGAGTTATTTATTTGCAAAAAGGATAACGTAATAGCAAGCTCAAGTGTTTTGGCTTCATTGGCAAGGGAATCGGCCATTTCGTTCCCTTCGATGTCAACATAGGCAGATATTTACAAAAAAAAAAATAAATAAATAAATAAAAAAGTGTGTGTGTACTTATGTACGCACGTACGAAGTTATACTTTTGCGTAACAAGATTAAAATCTTTCTAAAAATCTTTAGCAAGGCAAGCTGGGTCAAGGGTGAAAGGCGGTCACGAGCAGAGTTGAACGATACTAACCATCAGTCTCTCAATTGGACCAGCCAAAATAATCACGATTTAAATAAATTTAAACCAATAACATGGGGTGGGGGTATCAGACTGTATCTGGAGATGAGGTGAGCCGAATGTGACATCTGAGACCTCATATTGAATGTTTCAGCGGGAAGAATCGTTCCTGAGAAAATTAAGACACCCATCTGAAGAGCCCCCGAGTTATGGTCATTTTAAAATAAATAAAACAACCGGTCCGGAGTCTGTAGTTGCAAATGGGGG